TTGTTTGTTTTATCCAGCTGAGGATTTCTTCTTTGTTTTCTGCTGCTGTAAACAAATCCAATAAACCATCGTCCTCTTCTTTTTCGTTTTCTTTTTTTTCTTTTTCGTTTTCTTTTTCTTTTTCTTTTTCGTTTTCTTTTTCTTTTTCTTTTTCGTTTTCTTCTTTTGCTTCTTCTGCTGCATCTGCTGCTGCTGGGCTATCCACAGCGGACAGCCGACGGCGCTGCTGCTGCTGCTGCTGCTGCTGTTGCTGCTGCTGTTGCTGCTGCTCACCTTGTTTCTGTTCCTCATCATCGTCTTCTTCCTGCTCCTGCTGCTCTTCTTCCTGTTGCTGCTGCTGCTGCTGCTGCTGCTCTGGTTGCTGCTGTTGCTGCTGCTCTGTGGCGGGTCCTTCAGCTGTCGCTTCAGGGGCATCCAAAATGCCGCTGTTGCTGTCGCTGCTGCTGCTGCTGCTCTCGCTGCTGCTGCTCTCGCTGCTGCTGCTCTCGCTGCTGCTGCTGCTGCTGCTGCTGCTTGTAAGAGCAGCAGCGGCCGTCTCTGTTTGCGTATCTGTTTCATGCTGCTGCATTCCTGTTGCTGCTGGCTGCTGCTGCTGGTCCGCTGTGTTTCCTTGTTGGTCTTCGCTGTTGTCTTCATCATCCTCATCTGCTGCAGCATCTTCCTCCTGCTGCTGCTGCTGCTGCTGCTGCAGTGCTGCTGCAGCATCCTCTCTGCTGGCTAGCAGCAGCAGCAGCCTGCTTGCTGCTTCAGATGGAAAGGAGACAGTTAAGTTGCTGTTGCGATAGTCTCTTAGATTAAAACCACCAGCATGAAGGGGGGGAGCGGAGCCGGAGAGAGCAGCAGCAGAAGGAATGATTCCTCCTTGCACTGCAGGTGCTGCTGCTGCTGCTGCTGCTGCTGCTGCTGCTGCTGCTGCTGATGCAGAAGCAGCAGCAGAAGCAACTCCAGAAACTGTATTCGCGCGGAAGATAGGCGATCCCCTGACCGCAGGAGGTCTGCCGCTGCTGCTGCTGCTGTTGCTGCTGCTGCTGCTGCTGCTGCTGCTGCTGCTGAGCGGTGTGCCGCTGTCTGGTGTTTGTTCTCTTTCAGGGGTCGAGCTATAGGGAGAAGCTCTCCCAAGCACTTGCTGCATGTTGCTGCTGCTGCTGCTGCTGCTGCTGCTGCTGCTGCTGCTTCTCTCTCTGCTGCGGATAAGGGGCAGCACCGTCTGCAGGGACAGCAGCAGACTATCGATCTTCTCTGCTAGGTCGCTGTCTTCATCCACTTGCTGCTGCTGCTGCTGCTGCTGCTGCTGCTGCTGCTGCTGCTGCTGCTGCTGGCTGTGTCTGAGAGACTCCCGTCTACCGCCTTCATCCCGACGGCTGGCCCGCTGCGGCTGCTGCTGCTGCTGCTGCTGCTGCTGTTGCTGCTGCTGCTGCGCGTAGCTCGACATACGAGGTGCACGCTCTGTGATGGATTCAACAGCTGCTGCATTGCTGCTGCTGCTGCTGCTGCTGCTGCTGCCGTTGCTGCTGCGGGTGTTTTGCTGCTGCTCCGACGTATAGATTTGCTGCAGTCTTTCTGCTTGAGGCTGCTGCGCTTGTCGTTGCTGCTGCTGCAGCCGCTCCTGAAACAGCTGCAGCTGCTGCTGCAGCATGAGCTGCTGCTGCTGCTGCTGCTGTTGCTGCTGCTGATAGGTATGTCTATCTTCTTCCTCCCTTCCTACTCTGTCTTCTGCTGCACGGAGTCTCTGTACTCTTTCTGCGTCTTGTGCTTGTTGTCTTTGCTGCTGCAGCTGCTGCAGCTGGTGCTGCTGCTGCAGCAGCACTTCTCTATCGAGCACCTCTCTTGACCTTCTGTCTCTTTCTCTCTGTTCTTCTTCTTTCTGTCTCCTCGCTGTCTCCATATCCTCCTCATCTAGCAGCAAGTTGCTGTTGTATCCTTGTCTCGCTATAGGCCCTGCAGTCCT